CTCCCCTGATTCCCTTAGGGCCCAAAGGCTTAGGCTATCACTGTTGTGTGTACTTTGTCTCCTGAAAAGGACCTTATCCAGTGTTTAAAATTCAGGCATTCACAAGTGAGAACATCTGATGAAAAGGGATGAAATAAGGTGCAAGAAATAAGCATGGATATTCTAAATAGAAGTTCCAAAATTACCCTTTGTGATAATAGGATGTTTTTCATTCATGCTGTAAAATACAGAAGCCACTAGCCACATGCGGCTATCGAATTGAAATGAAGCTAGTATGACTGAAGAACTGAATTCTATTGAAAGACTCAGGAACTGTATTGTCCCACACAGCTCTTAAAGGAACAGACCTGACTGAATAGAGGATAGGGTAGTGGAAAGAACTGGAGGCTAAGCTTCGCCACATGGAGAGTAGGCCCCTTCAGAAGCAACCATGATAAACTAAATCTAGTGCAAGATAAGTGCTTGCCAAGTAGTATTATAACCTTTTGCAAGGCTATTTGTGATTGAACTGGATGCTCTGAACAATTAAAGGGTCTAAAGACAGAGATTGGTTGTCTGATGGCAATATCAAGAGATTTTTGTTGTTGTTGTTGTTTGTTTTTGTTTTGTGGGGCATGGACAGAGGGAAGCTTTTGTCACATTTGCCACCTAGCTTCAGGGTCAGAACCACTGTCTTTTAAGAGGGTCAACAGTTGTAATGGCTGTCTCCAAATTTGCACCTTTTAAGACAAATCCAGAAATAGCCTTCTTTCCTCCCTCTCTTTCCCTTCTTTTTTTTCATGGCTTTGAGAAGTTACCTACCAAAGGGCTCAAACTGTGGCAAACTGGGCTAAAAAAAACTGGGCAATTGTCTAAACTGGGGCCTCTCACATGATTGAGCCTTTCAGGGAAAATCAGACCCTGAACTGTCTGCCTACAGGCTGAGCCAACCTTTGTAAAAGTGCCTGGAACTGTATTTCAAAAAATAGGACCAAAACTTTTTTTTGTCAGATCAGAGCTGAGCAGCTATATCCTCCTTAGAATCTTTACCCGAGAAGCCTGCAAAACAGCTCCATTCTGAGCAACCATGGTAGTGCTTTTTAGATCAATCAGACAGTGAGGTTTTGGGATCCTCATTTGCATAAGGATGAGCAGGACCTAGGGCTGCTGGCTCTGTTAGCTCCCCTCTGACGCTGGGAGCCACTTTACCTTTCCACCAGGGGTGAAGACTGTGTTTTTCCTACTGGATCAGAGCTGCCCAGTCAGAGAGGTGCCTTGCAGTCCTGCTGTTCCACTGAATAGTTTCCTTCTTTACTGCACTCCAAATTGCTGATTCCTATTGGCATTGAATTGGTGTCAATGACCATTGACAGAAGAAAAGGTGGAATCATTATCTCCCCCCCCCCCCCCCCCAGAAGCTTACAGACAAAGAGTAGATAGTAAAAATGTCCACACACTGACCGGGAGCCAAATGTTCTGGGTTCTGGTGCTGTTTTACAGGCCAGTTAGCTACACCTCAGCTACACGTTTGCAAAATATCAGGGCTGGAAAGGACTTTTGAGGTCTCTGCCCTAACTTCCTGGCGCTCATGTATTGTAATAAAAATTATGATGAAAACTGCAGCTAGTTAACAGAGAGCTTACAAATTCTAGACACTGTGCTAAATACTCCATACCATTTACTCAAGCCTCATGGGTATTTTACAAACTTCCATTTTCAGATAAGGAGACTGCGCCTTTGCTCGCAGAGTTTTAAGTAAGTAGTCCAGGGCCACACAGGGAGTAAATACTTGAGTTGGCTTTGATTCCAGCTGGTTCCAATCCCTACATTTTTAATTCCTTTGCTGTATAGGTTGCTTCTCTCCAAGGCTCGACCGGTAAGGAAGGCTAGCTTCCGGCAGGGAGAGGTTCTCGTTACGGTTACTCTTAATACTTAGTGCATTTCTATTGCGTCCTCAACCGCGGGCCAAACTCAATCCTCACAGCAGCTGCCTAGGGTCCGCACTGGTGTCCGCGATCTCCGTGCGGAACGCGAGGACACGCCCGCGAACTGCCGAGTCGCACCGTAGCGAAGGGAGAGGCCCGAGGGCAAAGGGCTCCGCCTCCCAGCAGGCTCCGCCAGTCCGCCTGCAGCGGCCTCCGGCACCTGGGAGCCACCCACAAGTGAGGCCCGCGTCTGGCGACCCGCCTCCGCCTCGCCATTTCCGGTTCCGGGTCGGCTCGCGCGTGCGCGGAGACGGCAAGGAGCGTGCCCGGGGACCGCGGGAGCGTGCGCGGGGCGGCGGGGTGCGTGCGCGCGGTGACGTGCCGGCGCCATGTTGGAGGGCTGGCGGTAGCGGCTCGGGGAGGTGCTCATTCTCTCGGTCTCGCTCTCTCGCTCGCCTCCCGGGCTCCCTTCGGTCCCCCCACCCCCTGGTCGCCTGCGTGCGGGAGTGTGTGCGAGGCAGGGGGAGGGCGTCGGGGGGTGGGGGTAGGCCTTCCGGACCCCGGAGACCGGCGGAGGCTGCGAGGGACGCCGGAAAGCCATGGACGTCGAGAGGCTGCAGGAGGCGCTGAAAGGTGGGGGTAGCCGCGTCTCCCTCCCTCCTCACCCGCCGCGGCCCTCTCTCCTCGCCTCGGGGCGGGTGGCTGCTGGGGCCGGGCCGGCGCGGGGGCAGGTGCGCTTCCCATCCCCCTCCGCCTCCCGCCGGAGCCTGCGGCGGCCCTCCCGGAGCCGGCTTTGTGTCCGCGCCGCGCCGGGCGGGGGAGGGGGCGGGCGGAGCGGAGCGGGGCTCGCGCGGCCCAGACCCTGCCCGCCGCCCGCGCTCCCTCCGGCTCCGTTCTCGGCAGCCCCGCTCGCTAGGCGCGGAGTTAGAGGAAAAGAGCAGAAGGTATGGGGGTTGGGGGAGCAGCTTAAAATTTGTGTCTCAGGAAATTTAGAGCTTCTGGAGTCATCATTCGGTCCTAATTCTAAGGTGGTCGTCTTCCGAGCAACAGGTTTGAGAACTGGTTTCTAACAGAACAGTGTGATTTCAGCCTTTTGAGAATTATGCTTTAATATCCGGTATCATTTGGGGACAGCTGCGTGAGATGGCTGGTGTTTCCTAAAATGCAGATGTTTTGAACATCAGTTAGATAAACAATGCATTGGGTCCGTGGACATTAGTTTTAATCGGATTTTCAAATGAAGCTCACGCTGTTGTTCCCCTGAAACACACTTTGAGAAACATTGAGTTAAGGATGGTTTGTGAAGTTAGTGCCCTCTTTAGGAAGATGTTATCTGTGGAGAGATTAACACATGGAAGTACAAGTAGGAGAGTTGAAGTGGATATTTGGTTGAGAGGCTAATTTTTTTTCTTGTTCTTAATATGAGGAAGGACTGGAAATAAACTGTGTTTTTAGAGGGCATTGGAAATGGTTGGTGGGCTTATGAGGAATACTGATAACTGTTCTTTCTTCCCTTACCTAGATTTTGAGAAGAGGGGGAAAAAGGAAGTTTGTCCGGTCCTGGATCAATTTCTTTGTCATGTGGCCAAGACTGGAGAAACAATGTGAGTTGAGAACATATTCCTTGTTATAGACCGATGTATCATTCAGAATTGTTTGGGAAAGGGGGAAATAGGTATTTCAGAAGAACTGAATAATCTGTGTAAAACCCCAGTCATTTAAAGCAGTTACTAAGTGCAGATATACTTACTTTATGCATGATTTGTAATGAATTTTTTAAAATGCCTTGGTACATTTAGAAAGCTTAGTTGTCTGAAAGAGCTTGAGGAAGGGAGGATAGGTATTCCATTTATGATCCCCCCCCCCCCCCCCCCATAACAGGCTTTTCCAGGATTTTGTGGCTTGCTTCTATTTCAGATTTTTTTTTGGTGGTATTTTCTCATATTGTCTTAGAGCCAACCTTTTGTTTTCATATTTATGTATATGGGTATTTAAGGTGTCATTTCTATATAGTCTCTTCAGAAATCACGGTGATAAATTTGACAGATTCCAGATGCTACAGTTAGAGTGTCCTGTAAACTTTCTAGGATAGCTAACTTGTTATATCTGCTTAGCATTTTATTAGGCTTGTTTCCAAATATTGTAAATCTAAAACTTATACAATTAAGTTCTGTTTTCAAAAGGAACATTTCATTGCATTGTTGTGTGAGGATTTGGTTAACAGGAATTGTTTTCACACTCAAAGTTAATTCCTAGAGAGCAGTGTAGTTTAGGTGACTTCCTTGTAGTCTTGTATTTGGATAGGAAGTGGGAAGCTGGAGGGGGAAAGGTTTCTTTGGATGCAGGTTTAATAAGTGGAATTTCTTTGGGCTCCCCTACTTTTTGCCTATTTTAAAATTTTCTTTTTGAAATCTATGCTATAAGAATATAAGCTTCAACAAGTGATGAATATTTACTTTGGCTTCATTAACAAACTAGAAGCCCGGTGCACAATTTGTGCACAGATGGGGTCTGGCTGGGTGCCCTGATTGGGGGTAATCAGGGGCAGGGCCAGCCAGGGAAGGGGGGCCAGCAGGGGATGTGGGAGGTTGGCCAGTCAGCCCTGCCCGCTGGTCAAACTCCCGGTCAAGGGGACAGTTTGCATATTAACCTTTTATTATTTAGGATGCTTGTTTCTCACAAGATTTGCTTATGGTTGTAATGTAGCCTTAACCTAATTTTATTTATTTAGTTTAAAAACTATTTTTATTGATTTTAGAGAGGAAGAGAGAGAGAGAGAGAGAGAGAGAGAGAGAGAGAGAGAGAGAGAGAAACATCAATGATGAGAGAAAATCACTGATTGGCTGCCTTCTGCATGACCCCTTCTGGGGACCGAGCCCACAACCCAGGCATGTGCCCCAGATTAGAATCGAACCCAGGACCCTTTAGTCTGCAGGTTGTTGCTTTTCAATAAACCACACCAGCTAGGGCAGTGGTCGGCAACTGTTGCTCTTGAGCCACATGCAGCTCTTTGGTCCCTTGAGTGTTCTAATGCCACTTCTTCAAATGCCACTTCTTCAAAATAGACTTGCCCAGGCTGAAAACAGACTTCTGTGCATGGGCCACGAAGTTTCAGTCGCACTGTACGTGCGCGCCTGCACATAGTATTTTGTGGAAGAGTCACACTCAAGGGGCCAAAGACCCGCATGTGGCTTGTGAGTTTGCCAATCACTAAGCTAGGGCATTAACTAGCCTAATTTTAGGTAGAAAGAAAAAAACAACTCTTTGCTTTAGTGGTAATATGGACAAGCTGAACCTTCTTAATGCTTTATTAAAATTACCAGCCAACTTAACATATTGCAGACGGATCATGAGAATTTTCATTTTTTTTGTTCTAAGGTTTGTGGCCAATTACAAGACTTCTTTTAAAAGTGATTAGCTTGTAAGAACATGTAATAAACAACTTCGAGATGCAATGGGTATTTAATTTTAAAGTGTACCTTTAACATTTATGTAAAATGTTTTTTTGTACTCGTTCAGTAGAACCTTATCTGGCCACTGGGTAAAGCTAGCAATAAAACTACTGTGTTAAGAATGTGATTATGATGTGTTGTTCAATTTTATATTTGTTGCAGTTAAAAATGGAACCATTTAGGTGTGTGTTTTTTTTAAAAAAAATAAATCTTTATTGTTCAGATTATTACAGCTGTTCCTCTTTTCCTCCCCATACTCACCTCCACCTGGTTCCCACCCCACATCAGGCCCTTAAACTCACCCCCCCCCACACACACACACACTATCCTCATCCAGAGGTGTAAGATTTTTGCCCAGTCGCTTCCTGCACCCCCAATCCTCTTCCCTCAGCCCCTGAGAATTGTCAGTACACTTCCTTTCTATGCCCCTGTTTCTATTAAATTCACCAGTTCATTCTGTTTATCAGATTTTTTATTTACTTGATTTTTAGATTCACTTGTTGATAGATATGTATTTGTTGCCACTTTGTTGTTCATAATTTTTATCTTTACCTTTTTCTTCTTCTTCTTAAAGAATACCTTTCAGCATTTCATATAATACTGGTTTGGTTGTGATGAACTCCTTTAGCTTTTTCTTATCTGTGACACTCTCTATCAGACTTTCAATTCTAAATGAGAACTTTGCTGGGTAGAGTTATCTTGGTTGTAGGTTCTTGCTATTCATCACTTTGAATATATTTTGCCACTGCAGTCTGGCCTGCATAGTTTCTGTTGAGAAATCAGGTGACATTCCTATGGGTACTCCCTCCTTATAGGTAACTGTTTCTCCCTTTGTCTTTTGCTCTTGGCATTTTAATTATGATGTGTGGTCCTCTTTGAATTCCTTTTATTTGGGGTTCTGTGCACTCCTGGACTGTAAGTGTATTTCTTTCACCAGGCGGGGAAAGTTTTCAGTCATTATTTCTTCAAATAGGTTTTCAGTATCTTGCTCTTTTTCTGGCACCCCCATAATTTGGATGTTGGTATGCTTGAAGTTGTTCCAGAGGCTTCTTAGGCTATCTTCATTTTTTAAAATTCTTTTTGCTTTTCCAATTGAGTGTTTTTTTTTGCTTCTTTGTGTTTCCAATTTTTGACTTGATTCTGGGGATCCTCTAGTGTGCTGTTGGATCTCTGTATATTCTTTATTTCAGTCATTGTATTCTTAATTTCTAGTTGGTCCTTTTTCATGTCTTTGAGAGTCTCACTAAAATTCTTGGAGGTTTCTGGCAGATTCTTGAGTAATCTTATAACCGTGATTTTGAACTCTATATCCTGTAGTTTGCTTTCCTCCATTTCTGTCATTTGTTTTTTGTTTTTTTTTCATAGTTTGCATTTATTTTATTTTATTTTTTTAAAATAAATTTTATTGTTCATATTATTACAAATGTTCCTTTCCCCCCCCTTCTCACCCCACCCTCTGCCCTTTCCCCACCCCCATTGTCCTCATCCATAGGTGCACAGTTTATGTTCAGTCTCTTCCCAGATCCCCCTCTCCCCTTTTCCCCAAGAATAAACAGTTCACTCCCCTTCCGTACCTCTGATTCTATTATATTCAACAGTTAATATTGTTCCTCAGATTTTTTTTTTTAGTTTCCATGGTTTTTAGATTCACTTGTTGATAGTTACGTATTTGTTGTTCATAATTTTAATCTTTATTTACTTTCTCTTCTGAAAGAACCCCCTTCAGCAATTCATATAATTCTGGTTTGGTGGTGATGAACTCCTTTAGCTTTTTTTTATTAGTGAAAGAGCTTCACCCTTTATCTGACCTTCGAATCTGAGTGATAGCTTTGCTGGATAGATTATCTTTGGCTGTAGGTTCTTGCTATTCATCACCTTGAATATTTCTTGCCATTCCCATCTGGCCTGCATGGTTTCTGTTGAGAAATCAGCTGACAATTGTATAGGTGCTCCTTTATAGGTAACTACCTTCTTTGCTCTTGCTTCTTTTAATATTCTCTCTTTGTCTTTTGCTCTTGGAATCTTAATTATGATTTGTCTTGGTGTGGTCCTCTTTGGATTCCTTTTGTTTGGAGTTCTGTGCGCTTCCTGGACTTGTAAGTCTAATTCTTTCACCAGGTGGGGAAAGTTTTCTGTCACTATTTCTTTCAGTATGTTTTTGATATCTTGCTCTCTCTCATCTTCTGGGACCCCCATAATTCTGATGTTGGTTCGCTTGAAGTTGTCCCAGAGGTTTCTTACATTATCTTCAACTTTCTGGATTCTCTGGCCTTCTTGCGTCTGCGGAGGAGTGTCTTCTGGCTCTTTATGTTCCAAATCTTTGACTTGATTCTTGCGATCTTCCATTCTGTTTTTAGGACTCCATAAAATATTTTTTATTTCAGACAATGTATTTTTTATTTCTTGTTGATCCCTTATTATTTCTAGTTGATCCCTTTTCATATCCTTATAGATCTCGTTTATTTTATTGGCCTTTTCTAGGAGATTCTTGAACAATCTTATAAGTGTGGTTTTGAACTCTATATCCAGTCGCTTTTTGTCCTCCATTTCTTTCGTTTGTGATCTATTTGGTTTAGGCATTTTCGCAGGCAGCTTTCCTGATGGTGCGGGGTTTCATGGTGGAGCCTACAGCCTTGGCTTCCGTCAGCCCCGCCCTATGCAACTCCTGAGACTCAGGGTCCTTCAGTACTTGTTGCGAGCGCCTCTGAGAGAAAGGTGCCCTCGATTTTCGCCTGCTGCCAAACTGTCTATGCTCTCCCCCAATGAGTTCGGTATTGGGGTTCAGTTCAGTTGGTAGTGGGATTGGAGGTGGCGTTCAGAGCAGTCTGGAGCCCCTGTCTCCTTCCCGTCAGGCCAATCCCGGGGCAGAGCCGGCCGGCCCTTCTCTGCGCGCAGTGTGCGCGCCTCCGGAACCTCCTTTCGCCGCTTCCCCGGAGTCCCGCCTTACAGCCCGGCTCCCTATGGATGAGCCTGGGTCCCCGGGGTCTGGCCTAGAATTGGGGTTCAGAGCAGTTGGAGCTGGGCCCAGCACAGTCGGAGCTTTTCTCTCCTTCCCGCTTGGGACCGCCAGCCAGGCACTCGGCCTCCCTCCTCTCCGGCTCTGTCCTCTCCACGCGCGCCGTGTGTGTCTCTGTACCTTGGGCTTTTACAGCTCCTCCGTGCTTCCTTCTGGTTTTCTCCTTGCTTCTTGTTGTAGAATTTCCAGTCAGTCAACTTTCCTGTAGTTCTGGGTAATGTCCATTTTATATTTTAGTTGTATTTTGTTGAAATTGTTGTGTGCGGCTGTGGCTAGTTGCCTACCCAAGCAGCCATCTTGGATTCTCCCTGGATGTCCATTTCTGTCATTTGTGACAAGTTTCTTTGTCTCCACATTTTGGCTGCTTCCCTGTGTTGTAGCCGTGTGTGCTAGGTGTCCTATAGCAGTGTTTCCCAACCTTCTCTCATGATGAGAATCACCTGGTGGAGTTGTTAAAACACAGATTCCTGAATCCCAACTAAGAAGTGCTAAACTAGAATTTTTGGGAACATATAGGTAAAATTGTATACTTAACTAGTGCTCTAAAACAGATTTTATATACAGAGCACTAAGTTAGGTATGCAATTTTACCTATATGTTCTCAAAAATTCTACAGTAGTTTAGCACTTCTTAGTTGGGATTCAGGAATCTGTGTTTTAACAACTCCACCAGGTGATTCTCATCATGAGAGAAGGTTGGGAAACACTGTCCTATAGGACCCATTGACAGCCTCTCCAATCATCTGAAGTGGAAACTTTTGGTGTACCCTTTTGTGGGCTGTGTGCACAGCTTTGCTGTAGTTAAGTCTTGATTGCTCTTGGTATCATTGGGAGAAATTGACCTCCAGGCCAATTTGCTGTGAGGACCAGCTGTGTCTACAATGGGAGAACTTTTGTGCTGGAGACACCCTTATGGGGAAAGACTTGCTTCAGTGGGGCTTTGTTGCTCACTGAGTCTGCCCCTTGAGTGTGTCTTTTATGGATGTGAAAGAGTTATAATCTGGTATGGTCTCATACTGAATCCTGGGTACACTGAGGCTTTTAGATTTCCAAGGAGGTGCAAAGTCAGCCACTCTGCCTGAGGCCACTGAGCAGGCGCTACAGAGAGATCTGCAGATTCCTCCTCTTAGTTTGGGGTTTAGAAGTGCCCAGATGAGGTCCAGCTGTGAAGCAAGGCAGGCTACTGCTGTCAGGTGTTGGGCCTTCTTTTGGAAGCTTTGGAACTCCTTAATCCAGCTGCAGATTATTAGGTTTTAGGCTTCAGAAAGGACAGGCCATTCATATGAAAAAGCCTCTGTGCACAGTTTGGGTGGGGTTGTAAAGTGGGTGGGGCGGGGTCTCTGGGAATTACCAGTGGGGGGCAAACAGCAGTGGCTGACTGTTAACCCTGCACTGGACCGGTCGCTGGGTCTCTGTGTCCCTATGCCTCCATGCAGGAACAAGAATTGCTGCGAGTACCTCTGAGAGAAAGCCACCCTTGCCTTCCGGCCCAATGCCAAACAGTCCAGTTTCTCCCCTTACGAATCTGGGTCCCCGAAGTCTTGCCCAGAACTGGAGTTCAGAGCAATTAGGAGCTTGTATCTCCCTCCTGATTAAAAACAACAGTGCACCCAGTTGGCCAGTTTGTTTTGCACGTACCACCAAACATCCTACCAGTCAATACTCTTTTTTCTAGTTGTTGAACTTCCACTCAGCTAGCTTTTCTAGTTGTAGAACTTCCACTCAGCTATCTTTCCCATGGTTCTGGATGTTACTTGTTTTGTCTTTTAGTTGTAGTTTTGATGTATTTATGAGAGGCAGCAAGTACAGGTGTTTACCTATGCCATCATCTTGGTTGTCTTCCATTTAGGTTTTAGGGGGAAAAACTCAATATAAACTAAAAAAAAAAATTATTCCAAATGACTGACTGGTGCCCATATAGATAAGCTTAAAAATGAGTACATGCTTGGTTTCAAAAATAAATTGATGTCTAAATCATAAATGCTTAGATTGCTACTCTTGCTTTCTAGTCGCTATTTGGGCTATACTTTACCCCTTTCTACAAAAAGCATTTTTTACTTTCAGAATTTTGATATATAAGATATGTTAAATTATCTGGAGATAAATACTTTAAAACCTCTCCCATTATTCTGCTTATCAGGTATGAATAAACTGCCTTCCCTTTCGGATAAAATTCATTGGCCACTCTATCTAATAAGAGTAATATGCAGATTGACCATCACTCCAACACACAAGATGGCTGCCTCCAGGTGGAAATGATGGGTGCCACAAGATGGCCAGCAGGGGAGGGCAGTTGGGAGCAACCAGGCTAGCAGGGGAGGGCAGTTGGGAGCAAGGGGGGGCAGTTTGGGGCGATCAAGCCAGCAGAGGAGGGAAGTTGGTTGTGACCACGCCTGCAGGGAAGGGCATTTAGGGGTGACCAAGCCTGCTGGGAAGGATGGTTAGGGGCAATCAGGTTGGTTGGGGAGCAGTTAGGCATCAATCAGGCTTGCAGGGGAGTGGTTAAATTTAACCTGATGTTTTTAGACAATTATTTTGTTCTTGTTAGAAGACTTAAACAATATGTCTCTGCCATTCTTGTGAGGTATTTGTGAATTTATTTTAAGAGTATTTTGTATTAATAATAGATCAACCGAAGGACTTGTATACATGCATATAAGTACAACCAATGGACATAAAACTCTGGGCCGGGAGGAGATATGTGGGAGGGAGGGAGGGGGGCAAAAAAAAAAAAATCATTAAAATACGTAAAAAAAAAATAAATTAATTAAAAAAAGAGTATTTTGTATTAAAACTAGAGGCACAGTGCACGAAATTCATGCACAGGTAGGGTCCCTAGAAGCCCCTAGCCAGGGCCTGCCTTTGTTCTGTACCGCCCCCTGGTCGTTAGTGCATGTCATAGCGAGCAGTTGAATGGCCTTAGCATATCATTAACATATTATTCTTTGATTGGTTGAATGGCCGACTTAGTATATTGGGTTTTTATTGTAAAGGATGATTGGTAGTGGTAGTTTGTCTATTGAGTGTATGGGAAATGTTTTAAAATTTATATTTAAGTAAATGATGTTTATATATTTAGCTTTATTATACATTTAGCCTTTGTTTTTTTTTTAATCAACATGGGTATGCCTTAATTATTATCATAATACTGAAATTTGCAGTTTCTGTCATTTATGGCTAAACTGAGCTTTGTCTGACTTCTAAGGTTATAATATAAAATGAAAATGTCAAGAATAGGAAGTCGGGTCTCCAATGTTTTAGGATGGATGAGCTGCTTAAGATAAGAATTCTATAGTTCTGTTTTTATCCTCATCAGTAATATGCAAAATTGTTTATAGAATGAAAATTGGTGATAGCCTAGGCTGTTTTTTTAAATTGATTTGACTTTGGTGTTTTTAGCTTTAGAGAGATTTTAGTGTAAGTATAGGTTCTTACTGGGGAGGAAGTTGGTGGAAGATTAAAGAGCTTTGGAACAATTTTCCTTCCTAGTCTATTAAAAACTACCTGTGAACATATGTTGTAGGAAGTTGGGGAAGATGCCAAAACATGGGGTATTAAACTGTTATGAAAAGGGAGATAACTTATCTGTCTATCCATAACAACCCCTAGGTTGTTTTTGGCAATTTCAAAAATATTACTTTTATGTTGAAAAGGTTACTTTCTCCTGGAAATGGAGCAACACTTCGGTGGTGAATAAACAAAAACGTGGTGGTTTTAATAACAATATAAATAATTTGGTGGATTTTAGTTGCAGTTTTCTTCTTGATAATCAAATTGTCTTTGGCCAGTGGGAACCTCTTCTAATTGATTGTAGAGTCTTTTGACTTGAGCATAATAATTTTTGTAGGATCCTTATCTCTGGTATAATAATATGTTCAAGTTCATTTCCAGCCCCAGACCTGGAATCAGCCATTTCTTGAAGAAGCCCTGTGTTCTTTTAATAGAAAATGGAAGTTTAAGACTACAATCTGGGTGCTAGAGATGCTTATTATATTGAGTTGGTCATTCTAGTCTCTTCAGTGGACAGAACTAGATAAAATACTTTATGATTCATATTACTTCAAATTCGAAATTAGTACTTCAGGGTTTTTTTACTTCCACACCAAAAATCCTGGTTCTTAAGGGCTTAGTAGAGTTAGTATATTCCATATTCCATAATTACTGACTTGAACATTATACACCACCAATATAATTCCTTGTAAGAATGTTAAGTATTTTTTTACATGCACATGTATTTGGGTGCTCCTGTATTGTGTGCATATATGTTTACCGGAGGTATTTCATTTTGGATTGCTCCCTTTAGTATTTTGAAGTGGCATCCCCGATATCTTATTATTTCCTTCACTTTGAGATCTAATTTGTCAGATATAAGTATTACTACCCCAGCTTTTTTTTTTTTTTTTTTTTTTTTTTCCATTTCAATTTGCCTGAAAAAATTCTTTCCATCCAATCTGTGTAAGTCCTTTTTTCTGAGGTGGGTTTTCTGTAGACAGCAATATATGGATCACGTTTTCTTATCCACTCAGCCACATTTTGTCTTTTGATTGGGACATTTAATCCATTTACATTTAAAGTTATTATTTTTTAAAAATATATCTTTATTGCTCAGATTATTACAATTGTTTCTCCTTTTCCCACCCCATAGCTCCCTTTCACCCCGTTCTCGCCCCACCCTCTGCCCTTACCACCCCCCACCCCCCAACCCGCCATTGTCCTCATCCAATGGCGGGTTTGTATGATTTTAATCCAGTCTCTTCTCTTTCTGCACCCTCCACACCCTTCCCCCCCTGATAATTATCAATCCATTCCCTTTCTTTGCCCCTGATTCTGTTATAATCACCAGTTTATTCTCTTCCTCAGATTTTTAATTCACTTGATTTTTAGATTCACGTGTTAATATATATGTATGTGTTGATCATAATTTTTATTGTTTTTCTTCTTCCTCTTCTTAAAGAATACTGCCGAAGGGTCCTGGGTTCAATTCTGATCAAGGGCATGTATCTCGGTTGAGGGCAAATCCCCAGTAGGGGGCGTGCAAGGGGAAGCTGAAATTCAGCGATGTTTCTGTCTCCCTTCATCTCTGTAAAAAGTCAGTAAAAAATATTTTTTTAAAAAATAATACCTTTCAGCATTTCATATAATACTGATTTGATGGTGATGAACTCTTAGCTTTTTCTTATTTGTGAAGCTCTTTATCTGCCCTTCAATTCTGAATGATAACTTTGCTGGATACAGTAATCTTGGTTGTAGGTTCTCCCTATTCATCACTTTGAATTTAAAAAAAAATAAATCTTCATTGTTCATATTATTACAAAAGTTCCTCTACCCCCCCCTCAATTGCTCCCCTCCACCAGGTTCCCACCCTACTCTTTGCTCTTTCCCCACCCCCCATTGTCCTCATCCATAGGTGCACAGTTTGTATGTTCAGTCTCTTCCTGCACCCCCCCATTTCTTTTCCCCTGAGAATCGTCAGTCCACTCCCTTCCATATCTCTGATTCTATTATATTCACTAGTTAATATTGTTCATCAGATTTTTTTAATTCCCTTGGCTTTTAGATTTACTTGTTGATAGTTATGTATTTGTTGTTCATAATTTTTATCTTTATTTTCTTCCTCTTCCTAAAAAACCCCCTTCAGCAAATCATATAATTCTGGTTTGGGGGTGATGAACTCCTTTAGCTTTTTTTTTATTTGTGAAGTTCTTATCTGGCCTTCGATTCTGAGTGATAGCTTTGCTGGGTAGAGTATTTTTGGCTGTAGGTTCTTGCTATTCATCACCTTGAATATTTCTTGCCATTGCCGTCTGGCCTGTATGGTTTCTGTTGAAAAATCAGCTGACAATCATATGGGTGCTCCTTTATAGGTAACTACCTGCTTTTCTCTTGCTGCTTTTAATATTCTCTCTTTGTCTTTTGTTCTTGGAATTTTAATTATGATTTGTCTTGGTGTGGTCCTCTTTGGATTCCTTTTGTTTGGGGTTCTGTGTGCTTCCTGGACTTGTAAGTCTATTTCTTTCACCAGGTGGGGGAAGTTTTCTGTCACTATTTCTTCCAATATTCTATTGATATGTTGCTCGCTCTCTTCTTCTGGGACCCCCATAATTCTGATGTTGTCCCAGAAGCTTCTTACACTATCTTCAACTTTCTGTATTCTCTTCTCTTGCTTCTGCGGAGAAGTGTCCTCTGACTCTTTGTGTTCCAAATCTTTTACTTGATTTTTGCCTTCCTCTAGCTTGATGTTGGGTGTCTGTATAATAATTTTTATTTCAGTCAGTGTATGTTTAATTTCTAGTTGGTCCTTTTCCATATCCTCGAGGGTCTCATATGCTCGAGGGTCTCACTAGGTTTATCATCCTTTTATAGGAAATTCTTGAAAAACCTTATAACCATGGTTTTGAACTCTATATCCAGTCGCTTCTTGTCCTCCATTTCTTTTGTTTGTGATGTTTCCTTGTCTCGGCATTTTCGCTGCTTCCCTGAGTTGGTAGGGTGGCTTTGTGCGCTAAGGTGAGCTATATGGTTCAGTGGGTCAGCCTGCCAGTTACCTGAGGTGGACAATCTTGTTGCACCCCTTTGTGGACTGTGTGTACAGCCTTGTTGTAGTTAAGTCTTGATTGTTGTTGGTGTTACTGGGAGGAACTGACCTCCAGGCCAATTGGCTGTGAGGATCAGCTGTGTCTATGCCGGGAGACCACCTTATTCGAATAGACTTGCAAAATTGTAAAAGCCTCTATGCTAAGCATGGATGGGGCTGAGTTTCAGGGTGGACCCTACAGCCTTGGTTTCCTGTCAGCCCCGCCCTATGAGGTTCCTGAGTCTCAGCATTCCTCAGTGTCCTTCGGTACTCTCTGCAGGCAAGCACCTCTGAGAGAAGGGTGCCCTCAAGTTTTGCCCACTACCAAACAGTCTGGTCTCTCCCCCAATGAGCCCAGAACTGAGGTTCAATGCAATTGGAAGTGGGGTTCAGTGCAGTCCAG